AAACCAGGGGCGTCAAACTCATTTCACATTGTGGGCCACATATGGCCTCGAGGGCAAGTGGGCCGGACCATTAAAATTATACCATACTCTGCTATAAATAACCAAAATAATCTGTCTTTCCTTTGTTTTGGTCTAAAGAAGCACAAGAACATTCGGAAAATGTTGAAATTTAATGAGCATATCTTTTGCAAAACATTTCATGAAGCACCTTAGATTTCCTGAGACAAATGTGCAATTTACTTTTATCATTCACAAATATGCATTGCAACTGATCCCAGTGATTGTACAAAGGCACAAAACTTTAACAAGTAATTGGTATTGAAAAATATAATAATGCATTTTAAGATTAAACGAGATTTATAAAGAAAGGAATTTTCAAACCATTTACACGTGTGCATATAAAATCAAAATTTAATCCCTGCCTACACCTTACAAACTAAGGAGAGTGCTATTAAATGTGAAAAGAATAAGTAGTCACATGTCCTTGACAGCGTCTGCTGTGTTGGGTCTGTTTCAGTGACAGACTGGGACTGCGGTTGTCTTCTTCTCTGATCAAACAATTTTGTCTTCTACTCTGATGAATACAGTGTGTCCCTTAGCGCATATTCAATGAATTGCACCTTATTAAAAATATTCATTCCATGTCTTTTATGCATTTTTTTGACTTTTAAATGATCCTGCGGGCCTAATCAAACCTCCTTGGGGCCGGTTCCGACCCGCGGGCCGTATGTTTGACACCCCTGCTTTAAACGGTCTCGCCCCACCTTAATGTGGTTTAATTGTACACACGCTCTTATAACTAAGGATGTGACTGTGTTCAGCATTAATCACGTTCAAACCCATATTAAATGGGAGCCATCACGTAGCTGTCACCGTTTAAACTGCCTTTTATTAATCCTAAATAAACGTAAACTGTTCTAGTTGGCTTTTTTTTTTTTTTTTTTTTGCTGTCACATCTTACAGCACAGAGAAATGAGAAATTGATTTGATGTGTGTCAGACCTTGTCAGGTTCAGGGACAGAAAGTACATCAGCAGTGGTAATCTTGAATAATTTTCAACTGTTTGAAAAACATGAGCAGTACATGAACAATTTTAGGGAGGCTGTTCAAGTGGCAAGACAAATGAAAGCTCACCTGAATCTGCTGACCGACTGAAATATTCAGTTGCTGTAAAACTGAGTGGGGTCCTTGATCTGAAGGCAAAATATGACAAAATAGCATATAATCTATCTATCTATCTATCTATCTATCTATCTATCTATCTATCTATCTATCTATCTATCTATCTATCTATCTATCTATCTACACACACACACACACACACACACACACACACGTGCGTGTCCATGCTGGAAGTATTTAAAATAGATGCTGCCGAATGATCCAATCGAAGAATTAGTGCAGGGAAAGAAAGAGCTTGTGATAAGATTGAAGTCCCAACAAGAATCCAGGTGTAACATGTTTATACCCTCTCGGTGTGCAAACAAGAGCTGGATTTTACACGATTAAAACAACGTGGAACGATGGAGGCTTTTAGCCATGGGCTTTACATGCACATCAACCCATGCATGTATTTGGCTTGGTAGCGGTGCTGCAACAAACTAGTAGGCTTCACAGGAAAAGAATGGAACACCAAGGGAGAACGTGAGGGTCCAAGGCAGCTGCAGGATTGTGGCTGGATGCCCTGCGTGTGTGCTGCCGAGGGTTTGGCACTGACACCGTGAAGCCTGCTGTCCTGGCTGGAGTGTCCCAGGCCTGCTTGACAACACACACGCATGCACACGCAAGCACACACACAAACACACACGGAGAAGAAGGGGTAACTCAGGATATGAAGGGCCAGTAGTCAGAGTTGATTGTTGTGTGACTAATGTTTCTCTCCAGCGTCCATCTGTTCCTGGGGCCCTCTCATGCGAGTAGCTCATGAAAACTCCTTTTGGCCCCTTCCATAACTCCCTCATCATGAGCGATAACAAATAAATTTAAAAACGCCAAAAGTCATTCAAAGCTCTCCAATGGTCATTTGCTCCATCATCAAGCTGCGCCTTAATGGAAGCTGACAGTTGGTGTCGCATTGAAAACTTTGCGTGCTTGCATTGCAAAAGGCGTTTGATGGAAATTACTGACAAAAATGTACTCGGTGTTATGTATATAAGCAGGTGATGCACCTGACCTACAGTAAGATGAGAAAAATAAAACAAACAAAAAAATAAATCAGTCCATGGTTTACCCAAAGTGTGCTCAAAGTCAGCTGGGGCTGTCTTATTGTGATCCTGAAATAAAAGTGGTAGAAAATGATGAATGAAACGATGAAAATATCGAATGTACAGTGATCCCTCGCTACTTCGCGGTTCGTTTATCGCGGCTTCAGCGCATCGCGGGTTTTTACAAACATATTAAAAAAAAATGTTTTTTTTGTTTTGTTTTGTTTTTTAAATATACATGGAGTACAGTATTGTATATGTTGCTGTATGTGACTCGCTGTTTTACAGCTTCTTGCGGACTTTTTGCGGGCTTTTTGCTGACTTAAATTTTTTTTTTTTTATTTATTTTTTTTACCTGTATATGTTAATTGGTCGCTACTTCGCGGATTTTCGTTTATCGCGGGTGGTTTTGGTCCCCATTAACCGCGATAAACGAGGGATTACTGTCTGTATATCTGTGTGTTTACCTTCTGTCATGGAACGGCACTTATTTATTGATTGGTTAATTTTACTTTACGGTTTCTTTTTCGGAGTTTTCTGATGTGAATCAGGGCAGGAAGCAAACAATGAATGTCAAATCCACTGTTTTTGTAGGTTAATGAGGACCCGCTTTGTGGGTCATATAAGCAAAACAAAGACGTCAAAGGGATGTCTCGATTTAGATTCAGACATTCAGACATTCCCTCCAGGGGCGGCACGGTGGTCAGCTGGTTAACACGTTGGCCTCACAGTGCAGAGCTGCAGGGTTCGATGCCGGTTCCAGGCCTCCTTTGCGGAGTTTGCATGTTCTCCCAGTGCCTGCATGGGTTTTCTCCGGGTACTCCAGTTTCCTCCCACATCCCAAAAACATGCATGCCAGGGTAATGGAGCACTCTAAATTGTCCCTAGGTGTGAGTGTGAGCATGAGTGGTTGTTGGTCTATGTGTCTTCTGTGATTGGCTGGAAACCAGTTAAAGGTGTACCCCGCCTATTTCGCAAAGACAGCTGGGATAGGCTCCAGCACGCCCGCGACCCTTGTGAGGACAAGCGGATTAGAAAATGGATGGATGGACATTCTCTTCATTAATGTCAAATTGCAATATCAGCTCTTCATCCTTGCTCGTCAGTATTCTAAGACATTTAAATCAATGTTGGCCAAAGTCTGGATTTCTTGCATGTGTGGACGACTGGGGGCGTACGATCGCTTGCAGACAAGCAGCTGTATATGCACACTGTCACTCACATTTTCAGAGCAGTGGAAAAGACATCCAGCCTTCTAAATGAATAGATTGTTGCTTGAATGGAAAACTAAGGGATGTTCGGGCAGGAGAGGAGAGAGGGGGTGGAAGTAAAGGGCAGGAATCTGGAGAGGAAACATAAATGGAAGTGAAGAGAATGAGCACGGAAGGGACACCAGAGAGGACAAACACTCTTCGTAAAAACAGCACATCTCGTTTCTTTGCATGTTCTGGCGAGTCCAAATCGTCTGATGTCCCCTTGCGACCTTGTTTGTTCCTATTGAGTTGTCACGCGCTACTGAAGTGTATGGACCTTGTTGCTCCTGTTGGTTATATGTACATGTGTTAATCTGTGAGCCCCCCCACCCCCTCCCCA